CAGGCAGAAATCACTGAAATGTCCAGGAAAATATAGTATAAGGTAGCTGTTGTCAGGCCTTAGGGAATCCGACCCCCCCTCCCCATGGTAGGCTGCCAGGAATAGATCAACAAGGGAAGTTCTTACCAATGTCTTTTATTCAATCTTCACAGAGAGAGGCGCAGAAATGCATCTACTTGGAGTAACAGCATTGCTTCAATTAACCTCCACCCCCCCTTCTCTCCTCAATTGTCACCAGCACCACCCACCTTACGGTGGCCACTTAGGGCCATTTGTATCCGAGCCCTTTGCTCTCCTACTTTCCAGTAGAGGGGTGTTTGGAATGCTTTCTAGTGACAACATGTCAGCCAGCTGCTCCAGTTCTGCCAGCTCTTCCTCTCCCATTACTTCCCAACTTTGCCCCTCACCTACCTCTGAGCTGTGACCTCTCGCAAACCACCGTTGTAAATCTATGCTGTCTTCCTCTTCTCTGGACGATTCAGGCTGGGGAGGTGGTCTCCACCATTCCTCCTCTGTCCAGTCCCTGAAAGCTGCCTATGCTCTGACCCGGATACAACAAATCCACTTGAGGGAGACGGGATGGAGTTCTTGTGGTTAGGAAGTGATGGGGAAATGCACTGGAAAGTTTGGGATGGATGACTGATTAATGGGAAGGTGTATGAACACGGTGCAACCATGTCAGGTTCAATGCTCGATAAACAGGTTGCCCAAAAATGTGTCTATGTGTGCTTTTTTTAATCAATCAGGAAAGAAACCTGTTGCTAACAAAAAGAACTAGCAGGACCAGCATTAATAAGAAGTGAGATAGCGAATATTATGTTAAAGGAACTATTTTCAACAGAAACAGAAAAATGTTGCCTCTCTCTTAAGTGAACCCTTCTCCCCTTCTCCTCCTGGGGAATGCGGCTTTCATTTTCAAACATTTCTGGCCCTAAAGGTGGTAAAGATAAGATTCTGGGTGAACATAAATGCAATTTCCAGCGGCTTTGGAATTTAAGTATCTTGCATTTCAACTCTTCGGTCTTTCCCCAAGAGCAGGAAGGGGAAGCAGGTCTTCTGAGCATGGCTTCACTTAATTCGATATTTTGTTATAAAGAAAAGCACCCTTGCCATTTACAAAATCTGAACTAATGCTGTTTTGTAACTTTAACTAGTCATCCGTCTAGGGCTGGGGAGACCCAGGTTCAAATCCCCTCCCAGCTATGAAGTTCAGCAAACAAATCTGAAGATACAGCAAACAGGAAGTTGGGTGCTTTGTCTTTCTTCAACCTGGTCAACCATTGTGGTAGGTAATGCCAACTTCAAAGGAATGCTTATTGGAAGAGAGGGGGGCATGTGCAAAGGCATACATTGGGACTCTATCCTGGGCTGAGGTGCATAGTGCCCAAAGACCTCTCAAAATATCTAAATGTGTGCTAAGTAAATGCTCAGTGCTCCTCTAAATGATTATGGTAAAGAAGCAAACTTCCTCTGCTACTCACTGGATGGTACACAACACTCTTCCTTCCTTCAGCTGTTGAAATCTAAATAATTTAAGATTTTGTATCAGCAACAAGATCAGTATTTTTCTCAATTAGCTTCTTTCCCTCACACCGCAAATAAGCTCCAACCCTTACATAAATCTTGTTGCAAGGCCTGAATGAATGGCAAGTAAATGTAATCCCTTTTGGACGATTGTGGCACATAGCCAAGGCAATACCACAGTATCCAGAGATGTACGCCTCATAATGCATGCGTAATCTTTTCTACACAGACCCCTGGTAATTAGGCTACAGTAAATCTTGGATTTACCCAGTTTCTCAAATAACTTCACATCAACTTGGCATTTGACAACTCAATTTAAAAACAAAAAACAACGAATAATAAAAAAATATAAACAGCATGTTTCTAGGTGTTTAAACAGAAAATTGGAACTATTAATTAGCTGTTATGATTCAGAGAGCACTTGAAATTTTCTGGGAACTCCTGAATTGACATCACATGAACTGCACTGTTAGTAGTATCAGTACAGCTGTGATAACATTTCATTTAAAAAAATCAAAAAATCAAATCCCTGTGCAGACAAAATTGAACTCATAATATTTGAAATATTCAGAGCAGGAGATGGTTGGACAGTGTTCTCGAAGCTACAAACATGAGTCTGACCAAACTGCGGGAGGCAGTGGAAGAAAGAAGTGCCTGGTGTGCTCTGGTCCATGGGGTCACGAAGAGTCGGACACGACTAAACGACTAAACAACAACAACAATTCAGAGCAGAGGTAGCCAACATCCAGATAATGTTGCACTACAGTTTTCCTCAGTCCAAGGGAGAATAGCCAAGGATCGGGGTGGTGGGGGTTGTAGTCCAATGTCATCTGAAAGGCTCCTGGGTCATTTGAGGCAGGAGACACAGAGCCAGGAGGAAGAAGGGAAGAACAAAGTTAGAACAAAGTGGTGGAAACTGGTGAACCAGCAGGAACAATGTAGGTTGGATGCTGTAGGAGAGAAGCAGCAGATGAATCATGGATGGCAAGGCAGAAGCAAAGAGACCCTTCCTCTACTCATTTATATCCATGATTTCATATCCTTCGCCCTTCCCATACAAGTCAATGGAGCTGTGTTCAACTGTGATGGTATACATGACCCCTTGCATTGATGGTCCCTTAGCTTAGTTTGTTACTTATACCTATCCCAAGAAGGGATGGAGAACCTGTGGCCATCCAAATGTTGTTGGATTCCTCTAACTCCTATGAGCTCCAGCCAGAAAAGCCAATGGTTAGGAAGGATGGGAGATGTAGTCCAGCAATTTCCGGAGGGCCACAGGTTCTCCACCCGTGATTTAAAGGGCATATAGTGCTAGCGACACAGTAAAGTTGAAATGTGCCAACTTCATTAGATTCAAATGTGATGAGGTCTGAATCTAGTCCTTAGCGCCTGAAACAGCAGGACCTTATTCACTCAGGACTGCCGTGTTCTAGCAGAAGGATGGGATCATATCTTCGCTTTTACATGGCAAGGTTGACACCATAATTAAACTGCATAGCTAGATTCCTGCCATCACTTCAGGGAAACCAAGTGGAGAGCAAAGTTAATGTGCAGCTCTTTCTGGCTGCTAGATAAAGTGCATTCCTGCAGGAAATTAGGAGAGGAGTTGTGCATCTGCACTTCCCGCTATGGGCCTTGAATCACAACTAGAAGAAGCAAACATTAATCAACCCACGAGACACAGTGCTATCCATGAGTATTACTCCACAGTGGAGGAATGTGATGATGGAACTGGCTTCAAACTAACCTGACATACATGCTAACCTAGCATGTAAGCTAACCTATATTCTGCTCTTGTCCACTTTGGTTCTGCCAGCCAAAAGGAGGGAAAGTAATCTTCAGAGAAAAACCCGCCATGCCTCCTCAGCTTCCTAAAGCCAGCAGGATGTTAAACCTGCAGTTTAGTTCGCCGTGACTCAAGGAGGAGGCAAGCATGTTAAGTTATCCTCCGTCTTCACACCACAGAGAAAGATAGTGCGAATGCACGCTGCCTCCAGCAGAGAACGGCAATTGCAAAGCGGAAGTAGGTGTGAATCACAACAGTACGGGAACATTCAGTCTTTTAGCATGGAGGAGGAGGAGGAAGTGAAGCAAGAGCTAGTTTACACTATCCCACCTCCTCACACTGAAACCTATTCCATGGTGAATAATTTTACTCCACCATCTCCCCCTCCCCCAACAGCCCTTATTGGGAACTGTGGTGGTTGAAATCCGTGCTAAAACTGGGCAGCACTGATGCCCTGAGGCGTTTCTATGGCACTTTACTGTAGTGAGTACGCTGCTAAATAGAGACTCCTTATTTCCTCATCTCTAATCGTTTTCTAAAGGTACATATGCTTCCCTATCACTTTAATGTGCCTCTGCTGAAAGCAAGGCATGCCTGTGTTGCTTCTGAGGCTTTGCTTTTTCATATTGCAGATTAGCATGAATTGCTGAAATGAAAGGATGCAGATGAATCTGGAAGAAATACACTGGGGCATAGCAAGGATCTGCTCAGCAGCATGCTCATGCAAAGCAATTTTTGAAAGGAAAGGTACTTCTACGTGGTCTAGCTGGTTTCCCAACATCAAACGGAACAAATCAGGGACAAGGTCTCTGCATAAGAGAGATGTGTTCACAAATACTGAAAAAACAAAACAAAGGCATGGACGGTTATGAAAACACAAATAAATGTCAATCAAGGAGGCATTACTGCATGCTCTGAATGCAGAAGGTCTCATGTCAGCGTAGTATAGTGGTACCTTGGTTCTCAAACGCCTTCGTAATCAAACGCCGAAAAGTAAGTGTTCCCGTTTTCAAACATTTTTTGGAAGCCAAACATCCAATGTGGCTGTTGGCTATGGTTTCCGGGGCACCTGCACCAATCAGAAGCAGCGCCTTAGTTTTCAAACATTTCGGACATCAAACAGACTTCCGGAACGGATTAAGTTTGGCGCTTTTGTTTTTGCTATTTATTTTGCGTTTTTGTTTTTTTGTGGCTTTTTTGGTTAATTTGTTTTTGTGACTGTGTGGAACCCAGTTCAGCTATTGATTGATTGATTGATTGATTGTGTGACTGCGGAAATGGATAAAAGCCCCCCATCCTAACAATGACTATCATCAGTGCAGGTAAGGAAAAAAAATAATTTTAATTTTTATCATCTACAATACTGTCTTATTTATTTTATAGTACAGTACATCAATTATTGCTTTCATTTTACGGATCAATGGTCTCGTTAGATAGTTAAATTGCTGTTTTAGGGGTTGTTTTTTAAAGTATGGAATGGATTAATCCATTTTGCATTACTTTCTATGGGAAAGCGTGCCTTGGTTTTGGAACACTTTGGTTTTGGAATGGACTTCTGGAACGGATTGAGTTTGAGAACCAAGGTACCACTGTACTTGGAAAGACTCCTATAAAGAATCATATAATTGTTGAGTTGGAAGGGACCTTGAGGATCATCTAATTCAACCCTCTGCAGTGCAGGAATCTTTCCCCCAAACTAGCTCAGTTGGTAGAACATGAAACTCTTAATCTCATGGGTCATGGATTTGAGCCGTGGTCGTGGGTTTGGGGAAAAGATTCCTGCATTGGAGGCGGTTGGACTAGAAGATCCTTGTGGTCCCTTCCAACTCTACAACTCTATGATTCTATGGGGCTTGAACCCACCACCCTGAGATAGTCTCATGTCCTACTGACTGAGCTACCAAAATATGAAACCCTGGAAAGGTGCATCTAGTCTGTGTAGACAGTACTGAGCCAGTTGAATCAGTATTCGGCAGCTAATGCACATCCCCCTAAAGTATGGAGCTAATCCAAGATGATATATATGAATCCACCAGGGGGACCTTTAAAGAGACAGTGTTAGCTAGTCAAAATTTGGCAGATTCCACAACTACAGACAAATAAACAAAAAGAGCAAAAGTTGAGAAGTCTCCACCCCTATACACAAAATACAAACATAACTTCAGCCCACCAGTTAATATCAGTTGCTGCACAAGTAATGTGTGAAATGATGTGAAAAGACATTACAGTATGTCAACCTCAATTACTCCAACATCTTATAATGATGTGGATAGATTAGAAGATTTGTAATTAGTTCCACGTCTATGGTTAAGCGAAACATCGGCTCAATTCGGATGACAACCAGACCATGATTGTAAAGCTTAAGTACAGTTTAGCAACCTCCAGCTTGGCAAATCGTACTCACAGCCTTCACTTGAGCCACTGCCCTATCAAAACGCAAGGACTGAAAAGCACACAAGCTACTCTTAAGCATACCCTTTTTTAGATCCACAGTCCTCCAAGAATGCGCTAAAATATGTGTGGAACGTGAAACTGAATTTTGGGCTCTAGCAACGCTTAGTTTGCTTAGACATTCAAACTGAGCTGCTGAGTTGAATGAACTATTGTGTTGTTTTTTTAAAAAAATGTTGAATGACCCTATAGAAGGCAGGTTCCCTATGTACAAGCTTCACCTTACTGATAAAATTGCCTGTGGTTATGCACATTTTAAGAATGGTGCTTTACGAACTTCAGTTTGGAACTGAACTACATAAAGGTAAAGTTAAAGGACCCCTGACAGTTACGTCCAGTCGTGAACGACTCTGGGGTTGCGGCGCTCATCTTGCTTTACTGGCTGAGGGAGCCAATGTTTGTCCGCAGACAGTTTTTCCAGGTCATGTGGCCAGCATGACTAAGCCGCTTCTGGCGAAACCAGAGCAGCGCATGGAAACGCCGTTTACCTTCCCGCCGGAGCAGTACCAATTTATCTACTTGCACTTTGATATGCTTTCGAACTGCTAGGTTGGCAGGAGCTGGGACCACAACAGGAGTTCACCCCGTCGAAGGGATTCAAACTGCCACCTTCTGATCAGCAAGCCCAAGGCTCAGTGGTTTAGACCACAGTGCCACCCACGTCCTGCACTGTACTACATAATGAATCATAATGAGGCAGTAGAGTGTGTACCCATTCAGACTGCAAGTGGCAAGGAAGCTGCCTTTGAAGTGAGTCAGACTATTGGTCCATCTGAGTCAGCATTCTCTACACACTGATTGCCATAGGTTCTCCAGGATTTCTGAGTGGGAAATTCCCAGCCCTACACTGAGAAACCAGAAATTGAACTTGCAAGCTCTACCATCAGCTGGGCTACTGATGTAAGTAAATACAGGTCCTAGATGGATAGTTGTTTCCAATGTTTTCAAACACTGGACCCATATTTTGCCCAAGCATGCATTTGGATATCATCTTTTACCACATGGTGAAAGTGCAGTTGTTGCAACCCACCCCTTAAGACAGTCTATGCCCTACCAATGGGTCCTGACCCACCCAATGAAGACCAGCATTCTGAATCCCTGTCTCTGCATTTCCCTCCATCGGCTTATTTATGGGGGTAGGGGGGAAGTGAACTGATCTAAAATCAAACGCTTCAATCTGCGACACCCGTGATGCGAAAGGCACTCTCTCTTTGAAGGAGTCTAATACTATTTAAACTATCTAAAATATCCATCTCCTTACCTGCCTATATATAATGTAAAATTGAAATAAACAGGCAAGTTGCTCCAAGATGTGTCAGGCTATTTAAATGGAAACTGTTACCATTCGTCTCAGGCTGGCAGTGTGAAATCTCAGAAGATGGGAAATTCAGTACAAATAAATGACAAGGTATATATGTGCAGTCATTTCATGTCGTACTTTGAAATGTCAGTCTAGCAATGAACAAATGGGCACACTATTTCTCTAAACCTTTTATGCACAGACCTTACAGCACAAATAGAAAGTCCATGGCCAATGGATTCCGAAACGAAAAAATTCAACACGCAGAAACTGGGGTTGATTTTTTAAAACAACAACAACACAAAGCTCATTTTAACATTCAGCACTTAGCAGAAAAATAAGCATATGAAGGATGGGAGAGAGGGGACAATAGGCCTTTACTGAACATACTGAGTTCAGGGGCATTTGTTTGTTCATTTGTTTGTCTATTAAAGTATATATTTATCATAAAATACCAGGTCAGTGCACTACAATGTGCATACAATAAAACACCATTAGAAAAATACAAAATTTTCATGAAAACTACTGGCCAGTCAATAATGATTTAAACCCTTGCATCTTTTATGATGTTGGAAGCAAACTCCTTATCTGTTAGGCACTTACATAGCGACTATGTGGACCAAGCTGCATTTATAAATAATTGTGTCATCTGAATTTATATATTAACTGAAAAAGAAGTTAAAATGCAGTAAGTTAAGCTGGTATTCATAACTGTGGGAGAGACTTCTAAAAACAATGTGTCTAGACCTATTTTCAAGCTGGGGCTATCCTTGGATGAATAGCACTATGCAGCAAAATGGCAATACTTCAATAATGTTTTCCAAAAAAGAAAGCACACACACACAAAAGAACACCACCAAAAGAACACACCTATAAACTTTGCAACATAGCTAATCAGATTCAAGGAAATTAGTAGCACTAGGAGTGAAGAATGAAGTGCAGAAAAATGTCATCCTTACAGATAGATATGTTCCATGCAATTAATCATGTGGATGCAAGCAATTTTCTGCTATCCTTGTATGTACTGAAGAAAAGAGATAAACAATACACAAATATGTGCATCCACCATCCCTGGGAGATAGACTTATTTGGCTGCAAAAGCAAATAATCACTTATTGTCTGAATTCCTTATGGCTTTGTAGAAGCCATGCGTAAATTTCTGATTAAGTTGTAGTGCTCGTCTCCTACCACTGAGGAGAAGGCTTCATCACTGTATCTTTAACTTTTAAATGTCTAGCTTTATGTTCAGAACTTAATTCTGAAATACTGGAACGAACTATGTGATACTTCCTGAAATTCTCCCAGGCGGAAATCCCAATTTTAACCACCAAAAAAAAATCTCAGGAATCACTTCTGTAAGTTAATGAGCGCTGTCAGCCATTCAAATTAAGCACTCTATTGTGCAAGGAGCTAATTATGCTAAGATTAAACCCAGAGAGTGATGGGGACATTTACTGTATTTCTAGCAATTAGAACAGCTCTCAGTCCTGAAGAATACAACTTGTATTTCATAATATTGAAGGATGCCACAGCTAATCCAATTTTAAAAAGTGTGTGTGTGTGTGTGTGTGTGTGTGTGTGTTTCATGAATGTGCACAACCTGGACTTCCTTTCTGGAATACTGTGCAAATTCATCAGTTCCCTTTGCATTCACAATATCTAATTATCACTGTTACATGTGGTCTTTTTTGTCACAGTTCCCACTAAATCAAAATGTTCAAGGCTGGAACTCAACATGGACTTGCTAGCATTTTCCCCCTTCCTGAGAGGCAATTAAATAGTAAATCCTCGTTTCTTTTCACTGTGGAAGGAATGACCCTGGAACTTCTGTTCACTTGATGTAGTAATTAACAACTCTGGTATTTTTTTCACCAGTATCCTTTTCCATTCCTGAATACTTTTCCCTTTCATGTGTGGACTGCTAATGCACACTATATAACCAATGCAACTTGATCCCAGTGATCTTATTTTCCTTACATACTGTAGACAGTTTCAGATATAATCAACAAATCAAGTCATGGGCTCACACACTCCCCACTTCCATCACACAATTGGATTCTCTCCCTGATTTCCTGAGAAAGCCCTATAATTTGGGGAAAGAGTAGTTCTGGTTTGGAGGGAAATGCAGACTACAGTTTAGCAATTCCAATGTAATGCATAAAACTATGGTTTATTCAAACTACGAAGTCAGAACAAGCCTCAAAGCATATTAGGGCGAAGAAAGTAAGTGTGCAACCCTGAAGACCATTCACACAGGCCAAACCACCATTTCACTGAACAAGTCCTCTCAGTTAAGGATGCTGATGTAAACTATCGGAAGGGATATTACACGTCCTGTAAGTTTACCACAATTCAAAATGGAATAATATTGTTTGATGCTAACTCCAACATGAATTCATAACGCAACACTGCTACCACAACAATCAGTCTGGCGCCTAATATTATCTGTGGCCAATGACTGATTTCTGTACTTCCACAGTAGTGATTAAAACCTGAAAACTGATGAAATGATTCAAGAATTCCCACAGCATAAAAGCCCAGTGCAGAAAGAGCTTTTTAAGTCCTCCATCTTGCTTACCAGATTCTGGGAAGGTTGCGTGAGATCTCACGGAGCCTTTGTGAGATCTCACGAAATCTCAGACGGCCCCTTCCAGCTGTTTCCCCCTGCTCCCCATTCATTCATTTATTTCCCCACCACCTGCACAAAGCTGCAATCACATAGGTGAATCAGGTGCAAGTTGCAGATCTAGTGTATATCAACATAAACAAGAGTTGAAAAGAAGGGTTATAGCAGTCCATGTTTCTGAACCATGGCTCATCGAGGACTGGGGAAAGTTTGTTGGGTATTTGGAATATATAAGTGATGAGAGAATAACGCTAGTGGCATTTCAAGAAGCTCTGTAAAAGTTTGAGAAGTATTGTAAAAAAGAAAAACAAATGTGGAAGGGTATGTTAAAAGGCAATAGCAAATTTAGGAAATGTGTAATTAAAAAAGTTAAATTCGGATGATTGTCAGAGA